GGGGGTCCCGGGCCGGGCAGGCGGGTGAATGACAGCTGTGCCCCCTCCCCTCCCCGCAGCTCCTACATCGCCAACCGCGTCACGGACAAGCTGACCCAGATCCACGACCGCATTTTCTGCTGCCGCTCCGGCTCCGCCGCCGACACCCAGGCCGTCGCCGATGCCGTCGCCTACCAGCTGGGCTTCCACAGGTGGGTTTGCACAGGGGGGGGGCTCCGTCAGGAGGCCCCACTCCCCACAAGGACCCGGAGCCACTGATCCACCGTTGGAGACGCCGGGGTCTGCCTGGGTTGCATGGGGGCGGCTTGGAAAAGGGGGTGCTTGGAAAAGGGGGGTGCTTGAGGCTACCTGTGACCCTCCCTCCCCTCCCCCCCCCACAGCATCGAGCTGGACCAGCAGCCCCTGGTGCACACGGCGGCCAGCCTTTTCAAAGAGACGTGTTACCGGTACCGGGAGGAGCTGACGGCCGGGATCCTGGTGGCCGGTTGGGACAGGCTGAAAGGAGGACAGGTGAGGGGGCCGCGACGTGCTCCCCAGGTTCAGAGTGGGGGGGGGGTGGAGCCTGGCCTTGACTGTGGGATGCCCCTCCCCCCCCCCCCTACCTGGGCGGAGGGATGTTCGCCTGGATCGGCTGCCGTGGGTTGGCCTGGGGAGGGGAGGGGGCGGTTTTTGTATCCTGCCAACCGGCAACCAGCCAGACCTCCCTCTCCCCTTCCCTCCCCCCTCCCCAACCCTTCCAGGTCTATGCCGTCCCCATGGGGGGGATGATGGTCCGCCAGCCCTTCTCCATCGGCGGCTCCGGCAGCTCCTACATCTACGGCTTCGTGGACGTTTCTTACAAGCCCGGGATGACCAAGGAGGAATGCTTGACCTTCACAGCCAACGGTAAGCAGCCGCCCCACCCCCCTGACCCCAGGGCCGAAGGGGAGGGTCCCCCCTCCCTCCCTCCTTCCCTCAACCCGGTTCCTGCGGACGGGGACGCTGACTTCTCTTCCGCCCGGCCTTCTCTCCTCGCAGCGCTCGCCCTGGCCATGGATCGCGACGGCTCCAGCGGCGGCGTGATCCGCCTGGCTGCCATCACCAAGGACGGGGTGGAGCGTAAGGTCATTCTGGGCAACCAACTGCCCCGGTTTTCCTCCATCTGAGATAACGGCGGCGGCTGGGGGGCGGGGCGGGAAATGCTTATAACGGCTTCCGTGAAGGCTTGGAGCGGTGTCCTGTTTTTCGCGGGGACGGGAATGTGGGTTTTGTCGTCTTCGTGCTTCGTTTTTTTTGTGGGTATTAAAGGCAGAAAAATCTCCCCAATTGTGGTCATTCCTGCTTTCTCTTCCGGTGGGGTGCTGGAGGGGGGGGAGGGACATGGGGGAGGGGAGGGGGCACGGTCTTCCTTCTCTGGGACAAAGACGGGGCCGGTTTCACCCCAAACGCATCCAGGCCTGTTCGAAGGGGTGACAGGTTCCGAAAAAAGGGGGCTTAACGGGGTCTGCCAGGTTCCCGTTGGGGATATTTCACAAAATCAGAAATCTGGGGGGGGGGAGAGGAGGAGGGGGGGCCAATTGAGCACTTCTTGCCTCCCTCAACCAGCAGTGTCGGGACCCTCTCTGGCCCCTCCCCAGCTGGGCTCTTCCTCCTCCTTGAGCTGTGATTATGTTGAGATAAGAGGGGGGGGCACCAGCCCCTTGGGGTTCACGCAGCTCCACCCCATTCTGGCAGAGACTAGGAGAGGCCCAACCGTTTTGGGGAGGGGCCCGAGTGTTTTCCCCGCTTCTCCTTGCAGCCAGGGGGGGGGTGGGGTGGGGGGTGGCTCTGGGCCAGCCAGCATTTTTCCTCCGCAGTTCCAACTAAGAGCTTTTGCCCAAAGTTTCCCCCCCCCCCATCATTCCCCCCAACTTGGTCCAGACAACCTCTTCAGCTTGGTATTTTTTTGGTGGGGTGGCTGGCCTGGCCTTGGTTTCAGGAGGGCGTCAGGGCGGGTCGGTCGCAGTCGAGAGAAAGAGAGGGGTCGGGGTGGTGTGCCGTTTATTCCCGGACAGAGGGAGGGGGAGCCTCTCGGGCCGACGATCAGCTGGTGGAGTCCCTCTCGGAGTCGAGCTGGTGGCGGAAGGAGAGGCGCGCTTTGCCCGTGAAGTACGCCCGGCCGCTCTGCGGGTCGCCCTCGCTGCTGGTGGACGGGGTGGACCGGGCTCGGCCTGCCGTCGCCAGGTCGGGGCCGTCGGGAGAGGGTGCTGGGAGGGGAAGGAGAGAAAAGGGAAGGCTTGGCTACTTTCCCATCCCCCACCGACCCACCCCCGTCGCCTCTGCCTGGCCGGCCCCAGGGAGGGCGGCGCCCGGGTCCCCTTACCTTCCGGGGGGCTCTGCCTGGCCGGTCCGCCGCTCCCTTCCCCGCCTGGCACGGGGAAAGCAGCTGGGGAGCTTGCAGCCCATCCTTGGAGGGTCGTTGGAGTCTCCCTTCCCGTTTGGGGCCAGGAGAGGAGTAGCCTGAGACCTTGCAATTATAGGGCGGGAGGGGAGGGGATTCTCCCTTCCCGTTTGGGGCCAGGAGAGGAGTAGCCTGAGACCTTGCAATTATAGGGCGGGAGGGGAGGGGATTCTCCCTTCCCGTTTGGGGCCAGGAGAGGAGTAGCCTGAGACCTTGCAATTATAGGGCGGGAGGGGAGGGGATTCTCCCTTCCCGTTTGGGGCCAGGAGAGGAGTAGCCTGAGACCTTGCAATTATAGGGCGGGAGGGGAGGGGA